CCAAATGCTCTTTTTTTTTTTTAATCGGCGCTAAGGCAAGTGGAACGAATGGAACAAGTTCGCTGCGTATGGATCCTTACCGGCTGGCGCGCGTGTCTGTAACTACGTAATGGCTGGATGGGGTATTTCTCATTGGCGATCCGGGCTGTTTGCGATGGTGAGGTCCGCGAGGGGGTGATGGGAATGGGAGGTGGCTGGTGAGGGTGGTTAGTAAAGGGTACCGTATCCAACCGCAGCTATTTCCCCGCCTGCGCGAGTGCGGGAGGTCGAGTGATCCCGCTGCTTGTGTCACATGGATTCGATTTGGGAGGGTGTTGACCGCTCGTGTTGTTGTTAGGTGGTGGGTGTTGGGAGGCGTGACATGTCGTTGGATTTAGGATGGCGGGGAGACGATGGAATCGCGCGCACCGTTGTGGTTAAAGGTGATTGATCATTTCTCAGAAATGGGGCTTTTTCTTAGCAATGTCTTGTTTAGTGCTACGGCGAGATGGTGAGAATCTAATTCGGTTTTTCAGCGCGGAGAGGTCTCGGCAACGCAACGGTGGACGGGGAGCCGGGGACGTGCGGGAGATCGCGCTGGTGCCGGTGGTGGGGGTGATCGGCCCCACTTGCCCGAGCTGAACCGGACAGGATATCGGGGTTGGGAAGGAGCGAGCTTGAAGGACGCATCGTAGGTGATGTGAATCATAATGTTTTTGGATTCTCTTGGAGTATATTTAGATATAGTAAGTATACGAGACTTTTATAAGCTTGTTCGTGACTCGGAAACATGACTTAGAAATGATTCCTCCACATTTTTTGAGTTTAATGTTTCCATTTCTTGTACACTCGCCCAATTGCCCCGCGCTCCTCGCGCCGCTTGTCGGCTCAACGCCAAAGCTCGCGACCCCTGGATCCCGATGCCAACAACGAACCTCCCAACGTAGTGCAGACTTGGCTCTTGTATGATCCGGGCTCTTCATTTATATCTTTAATATCTTGATGGCCTACATCACCGGCGCCGGGAAGGCTTGTGCGGCACTCCAGACAAAACCGTCGCCGCATGGGTGAAGCAAGCACGCCCCGTCTTCGACGCCATCGAACGCTATCCCGCCGCCCAGTGCCCCGCGTCGAGGAGACAACATCCCAAAATGGGTGGATATATCAAAATCGGCGGGCAGCGCGCCCATTCTTCACTCCGATGCGCAAGGTGGAGGGTAACCGACCTCCTCGGCTTCACGATGTTCCTCACAGCCATCCTTGCCGTCGTTCACCTCGTCCGCCCTCAGTACCAACCACGAGCGAGCCCAAATCGATTTGGGCCTCTCAAGTTCACTCCCTCGGGAACTTTCCAGATATCCATCTTCTCGGACCTCCACTTTGGCGAAAGTGCGTGACCCCTTCCCCCCACCATCCCTCCGGATCCCCAGCTAACGACGCCTCCCCCACGCAGACGCCTGGACATCATGGGGCCCCCAACAAGACCTAAACAGCGTCAAAGTGATTGAATCGATCCTCTCCTCCGAGCCTGACATCGACCTCGTAGTCCTCAACGGCGACCTGATCACGGGCGAAAACACGTACCTCTCCAACGCATCCCACTACACCGATCAGATCGTTGCTCCCCTCGTCGATCGAAACCTCACATGGGCTTCGACCTATGGTAACCACGACAGCTCGTATAACCTCTCGCGCGCCGGAATTCTCGCCCGCGAGCAGCGCTACGCCAACGCGCGGACAAAGAGCATGGTGGATGGGGACGTGGGTGTGTCCAACTACTACTTCCCCGTCTACGGGGCAGACTGTGACGACGGCGATATCTGCGCGCCAGAACTGTTGCTGTGGTTCTTTGACAGTAGGGGCGGCTTCAAGTTTCGGGAGAGGGACAAGGAGGGGAAGAGGGTTGGACTGCCGGATTGGGTGGATGGAAAGGTGGTGGACTGGTGGAAAAGCACAAACGAGGGGATTGTGAATGACACAGGGAGAGTTGTGCCTTCGTTGGCGTTTGTTCATATACCCACAAATGCGTCGAGGGCATTCCAGGACGAAGGGGTTGACCCGAACAAGCAGCCGGGAATTGATGCCGATGTGCCGGTTGCGATGCAGGGGCAGGGGTGGTGCGAGGATGGGGTTGACGATGGGACTTGTGATTATGGGGGGCAGGATGTCCCATTTATGGAAGCCGTGGCTGGTATGAAGGGGCTGATGGCTGTGTTTTCGGGGCATGACCATGGAAACACATGGTGCGTGAGGTGGGATAGGGCCTTTAGCGGGATGGATGTCAAGGGGAGCGGAGTGAACCTTTGCTTTGGACAGCACTCGGGGTATGGGGGTTATGGGACGTGGATCAGAGGCGCGAGACAGGTTGTTGTGTCGAAAGACATGCTCGGGGATGGGGCTGTGGACACATATATACGGCTAGAGAGCGGCAAGATTGTCGGGGAGATCACGCTCAACAGCACGTATGGGATAGACGAGTATCCTGCTACACCCGACGACAGGACTTTCTGCCCTACTTGCAAGCATTGATCCGTGTACCCCTGGTCCCATGGTGACGAGCCAGTGAGCGAGCGCCGGACGTAAGCGCGAGCAGGGCAGCCATTGGATACAAAGAGCCTCTGGGCTTGTGATGAATGAAAATGCCTCGCATAACGCAAACTAACGCGTCGAGGAATGGTTTGACTGTTCACCGGCTGTGGCGCCTGTCAAACTCGCAGTTGGAAGTTGAAATCTGATATCTTAGATTCTGGCCAATGTTTCATCTGTCTTTGTACCCGATGAAGCGAGCCTTGTCCCGTCGTCCTGCCGGGTCTCTGATCCGAGTTACACCACCGCAAAGACTAGCGGGGAGATCCGCCGGTAACTCGAGGTTCCCATAGCATGATGCGGCTTGTTTCCAGAGCGGAAACGCTCCCGGATGACTGTCCGCCGGAGCCGAGTTCGATGTCGAAGGAAAAGGAGAAAATAGACTTTTGGGGGGGTGGGGGGAGCTCGATGGGAAGGCATCCATCCATCCATCCAGAGGTCAGTTGACAAAGAAAAGCAAAGCAGGGCAAGAGCAGGAGTCAGAGAAAGAGCAAGCCACCAAACTCTGTTCTCCCTCTTTCGATCTCGACCCGGCCGGAACGTTCAAAGCTCGCACACATGCCCGCCCCCCCAGGCACACAAAAATGTACCTGCTGTATAACGGCCATCATCGTCGCGCAGTGCACCTTCCCTTGCGTTGCGGTCTACCCCACGACGGCCGATTAAACAAACAAAATATTCTTCCCAGACGACGCAGCAGCGCGAATCCTTTTCTCCTCCACTGTCCAGCATCCCCGTTGTATCACAACTGCAATCACAAACCACCAAAGACAACACCATGGCCCCAGCGCTGCTGCCGCCGTTGGCGTTGGTGTCGTTGTCGTCGGCAGGATCCCGCGCCGAGGCTCTTCGTCGAACTCTGCCTGCCCTCAAGACGAACTTTACCGAAAAGCTCCCGCCGTACTACCCCGAGACTCCCTCGGCGCATCCCTCTCAGACTGACGACCACCTCTGCTCCGAGCTCGCGACGACTCTGTTCCGCTACAAGGCCTTTGTGCCCAGCACCTTTCTCCGCGATGTCAAGGTATGTTCCCGCATCACCACATCCCTCTTCTCCCCTTCATCTTCTTCTTCTCCTTCTTCCCCTTCTTCTTCTTCTTCTTCAGAGCGGCAGATATCTAACAAGAACTGCATGGAGCAGGCGTACATTGGCCGAAACCCCACGACCCATCCCCGGTTGGTAGGTGAGATGACACAGCACTTTGTCGCCAACTTTGTCTTTTACTTTTGCACGTCCCGCGGCCCGGAGACGATGGGCGAGGATCTCGAGGACGACGAGGCGCTTAATGCGGCGTGGCGTGTCCTGTACGAAGTGGTCAAGGGTAATCCGACGCTTGAGGTACGGCTCGGCACGTTTGTGCCTGCTTGGCAGCAGGGCAAGGAGGGCATGGCGCAGCCGGGTAAGGTGATCTTGCCGCCGGCCAGGATGTCGGTGCCGGCGCCCCTGAGGAGGAGGTTGGAAAAAGAGCTGGAGTACATACTTGAGTGGGGAGCTATGGAAAAGCAGGAGGATGTCAAGGCGGGGATGGAGGGGATGGGTGAGGTCAAGATGGAGACGGAGGAGATGGGGGAGATTAACCAAGAAACCGAGGATATCAAAGTCAAGGCGGAGGAGATTGAGGGGATGGATGTCGATGTTGGTGAGGTTGGATTTGATGAAATCCTTTAACGGCCAGCGGGCCCGAGTGGATGGGTCGATGATGGTAGGCGCTAATCTCGGCGAGACGTTGAGGTTATGGCGAAGGCCCTTCGTCCAGGTCATGTCAGAATTGGTAGCTAGCATGCCATGTATAGAAGGCTACGCGCTTTCGACGCCATTTCGCCTAGCCGCTCCCTTGGACGTGTATTCGAAACCATTGTCATCTATGACGTTCTTGACTCTGCGAGGTGTGCTGAACAGGGCGCCCCTGAAGACTTGCGGATATCGGCGCCAGAAAACATGCCTCCACTTCAACGCATCGAGCCTCCTACCCATGACCATAACCTCCTTCCGATCAACACCGCGGAGCCCCAATGACAGCTCTGATGCATTCCCCAAGGTTCTCCTTAGAGAAAGGGTACTGTAATAACCCCTCACTCCTTGCCTCATGACTTTCAAGAGCGGCGCCCGTCAAATACCTACAGCGGATCACCAAATTGCAAGCCCCAAAAGTGACGGCTCCCTGGGGATCGATCACCAAAACAATGTCCCCTCTCCATCGTAATTCCAAACATCGGAGACGCAAGTCTCAGCTCGACACCCGCTTTTCGGAACCAATTGGAACCGTCAGCCAGGGCGCAAAAGTAATCCAGCGCTACATCAGCTGCAAAAGGACGGACAGGCGAGCCAAGCATCACAACTTCGACCGACCCCTCTCCCATAATTTCCATAAGAGGGCACCCCAAAAATAAATAAATAAACGGGTATTGATGAACGAATAAGCGCAAAAAAGGTGTGCGCGAACCGGGATTCGAACCCGGGCTCCTTGCTACTAGAGCTTAGTATCTGGGAAGCAAATGTCCTAACCACTAGACGATTCACGCGCTCTGATTTTGGATGCAAAAGACCTGCAGAAAAGGGGTTCATGTTGGGAGGGGCCGTGAGGTGGGAGGGGGAACGCTAGGGCTGCAGGATCCACACCGCAGCGTTCCATGACGGAACGGAAAGGGGCGGGGGCTCTGGATGTGGATGGAATGCGCCTTCCCGTCTGCCGGTGTGGGTCATGTCTGCGGCGTGCCGTTTGGAACGACGTGATGGAGGTTCAGGGAGATGCTGAAAATGGTGGCATTTGCACGGGGTTCGGGTCTTTTCGATTGGAATCGAACTGGACGATTGTTTTGTTGAAGGGTTGTCCTTGCTGCATGCAACTTGGGGGGAGACTCACCACATGATCTGTGGTTGGGTGTTGGAAACACCACAGTGGGGATGGCACTCGTCGTTGAGATGCAGCGCTCGAAATCACAAAGTATGTGACCCGAGAGGTCCTTGGGCACGATGTACAATTTAAACCTCTTCTCGGGACTGCTGGGCAGGCTCGCGACAACCCGACGACGGAACTCGATTTCTCTACAAACAAGCATTGCATCTTCCCTACCGAACCCCCGCCATCTCACCGCCATCTCACCACCACCTCCTGTTGTGTGCGCTCGGTTGCAGGTTAGAGAAATATATTCAACGTTAAACATTAGCTACAACCCCTATTACCAGCCCATGACCCGGGAGAGACCGATCCGACCTGTATCAACGACAAGACTTGAAGCCAGCCCAGTCCCAAGCCCATCAACCATCGCTATTTTCTCATGTCAGACATCGTAGTGATAACCGCTTCGGGGGAAAAACTTAATACAGACGTAACAGCCAACAGCCAAGCATCATCCATATAATGCTCCAAGAAGAGGGTATGGTTCATGTCAGACGCCCCGTAAATGCATTCAAAAGGAACCATGGGCCGACACAACCCTAGAATTGTGCTGCAGCGCCACGGGAAAGAAAGAATTCGACTCCATAAAACTTAGCGCTTTTCCGAACAAGAATAAGGTCGATAGGGAGGAGGCGGTGGGGGACCTTTCTACGGCCTAAGACCTTGCTTTGCCTGTGACTACGTTAGCATTCGCTGCTATGTGTGTTTGACGTTCAAATGTACCTTCATCTGCTCAATCCTGGCCTTGAGCTGGCTTGTAACCTCAGCTGCTCTCCTCCAGCTCTCAACGCCGGAACCTGGGGCTCCTGCTGTCGGGGCGTCGCCCAGCCTGCTTCCAGTCCGGCTGCCAGCCCTACTTCCGGACCTATCCGTCTGGCTAGGGTAGGCCGAGCCGACTGTGCTGTCGATGCCACGGGTTTCCCTCTCGTCAATGGCTGTTTCGCGGCGGAAGCCCCGAGCAGGGCTGCCTCGCCCACTGCTAGCCGTGCTACCAGCGTACCTAACTTCGGGGCTCAGCTTGTTGCGTGGGTAGGCAGCGACGCCCTCTCCGTTCTCCTTTTCTTCGCTCATCGTACTTGTGAAGCTCATGCGGTTCCTGTTGCCACCTGACGGTGCCGCGCCATCGCGATAAATGCCGGCATCGTCATGTGTGGGGCTCATCATGCCAGGATTGGGCGAGCTAGGACTCCCAGGCCCAACGCCAAAGGCCTCGGCTTTGCTCAGTGCACGCTTAAGACGATCGAGCTCACGCCGCAGACGCTCGTTGGTTGCCTCAGCCGCCTCGGCGTCACTGCGAGCCCTGACGAGCTGCGTCTCCTTGGCCTTGATGGATAGGACATCACGCGTGTGATCTTCAATCAGACCAGCGTTCTGGTTCTTCAGCTCTTGAATCTCAGACATGAGCTTGGACCTGTCATGACGAGCGTCCTCGAGCTGCTTGAGCAGGCGCTCATTAGCATCACGAAGTTCCTCAAGCTCGGCACGCTCGATCGGTGAAAGTCCGGAAACGGGAGTCGGCGATGGGGGCGCTGCAGGAATGGCTGGGGCCGCAGGTTTGGCCAGCGAACGACCGGCAAGTCCTCCTCGGCCGAGCCCAATACGGGGCGCTGCTGGCTTCGCTGGGGGTGATGCTGGAGGCTCATATTCGTCCAGAGGAGGGGATGGAGCAGCTGCGGGCCGGCGGGGTGAAGCCAGGCTACCAGGGCCTGCGAGAGTCCGTTTCTGTGGGGCCTTGAGTCCTCCCAGGCCACCAGGCTTCGGCATGCCAAGTTTGCTGCCCGGAGCGGCCCGGGACGTAGGCTGTGGTGGGAGCGGCTCGGCGGCTGGCGGAGGTGGGGCAGCAGCTGCGGGAGCTGGCTTTTTCACGGCGGCGCCGGATGCCTTCTTCGCCCCGCCCATCATCTTCTTCGGTCCGCCTGCTCCTGGCGGTCCGCGTCCCGCCGGTGCAGGTGGCGGCTTTGGCTTGTCCTTGGCCTTAACTTCGGCAGTCTCGAAAAACTCCTTGATCTTGGTCTTGCGAATGTCGTCGAGGCCCTCAAGATGGGGATTCATGGCCCGCTCGCCGATAATCTTCATGATCGTTCCAAGTACCTCGGCGCCACCGGATCTGAGGACTTCGCTACCTTCCGAGAGCAACTTCTTCGCTGACTCGACAATCGTGGCAATCTCCTGTTTGCTGGGTACATCCCGCGTAGTGCGCAGGCACCGGACGAGAAACTTCATGGTACCCTCCTTGACTTGGGGGTTCTTGTGAACGAGGTACGCCGTGATATCCTCGAGGCAGTCCGTCAGGTCGGTGGACATGAAGACCGCGTCTAGAGCGGCGCCGAGCGCATCGGCAACTGTTGCCTTTTTCTCCTTCAACCTCTCCATGATCGGCTGCATGACGGTGGACCGATACTTGGAGTACCCCTTGCGTAAACCCTTGGCCAACAGCTCGATGCACTGCGCTGCCTGGGTGACAACTGCAATGTTGGCATCCTTCATGCATTTTGCCAAGCTGCGGTTGACTTCGCCGAAATCAGCGTCCTTGATTCTGGGCACGTTGACGATGGCGTACAAGGCTTCCAACGCCTCCTTTCTTTCTTTCCATTTGGTCGAGGCAAGGTTGTCGAAGAAGTCCTTTGGCAGCTTGCCGTGGACGTCTTGGGGCTCTGCGAGATCAAACGCGTCAATCTCACCCGGCTCCTCAAAATCGCCCCCGGCGTCCTCCCCGTAGTCATCGCCGACCGCTGCGGGTCCTGCTCGCTCCTGGGCGGCTTGTTGTGAGCGCAACAGACGCTCCTGCTTCGCTGGTCCCTCCGCCTTGACCTTTTCGAACTGCGCCTCGAGATCCGTCTGCTGCGTCGGCTTCAGGTCGCCCCAGAACATGGGTTTCATGGCTTCGCGGAGCCACCTGTAGAACTCGACTGCGAGGTTTGTTGCTTCGGCTCGAACATTTTTGTCTGCGTGGCCAAAGACCTTGGGTAGGACTTTGAGGACGGGCTTAGGGTCTGCAGTCTTGCAGCCGTAGTTGTGAAATATTTGGGTGAGCGCAGCAACGGATGCGGCTATAACTTTGGGCTGTTTGTTTGACAATACCGGCAGAATATCCTCGATAACTGGCCCGGGGACATCGAGTTCGACAAACAATAGTAGCGCTTCGACGGCTGAGGCTTTGGTGGCTGCTCGCGTTGACGAAAGGCCCTTTTCGCAAATTGGCGTCACCGCATGTTGTCTTGAGCGCACTGCTCCTTCGCGGCCACCAAATTTGAGGAACGAGCAGAGCGCGTTGAGGCCTTCTTGCTGGGCAGCAACATTGGAGTCTGCGGCAGCGGCCTTCCAGAGGCTGGGGTCTTGGATGAAGGGGCGGAAAGCCGGGTCGTATTCGTCGGCTGTCTTCTCGAACTGCTTCGCCGCGTCCTCATATGCTTGTTTGCGGACTTTCCAGTTCTTGTGCACCCAGCGGTCTGGTAGCGGCAAAGAGCTAAAGTCCTCCTCGTCAGCCATGGCGGGCCGTCCAGTCGGTGATCGGGATTCGAAGTGGTGGCAGGATCGATGTAATGTCGGAAGGTTTTCGGCTACGATCTATCACCAGACGCGCCGAGTTAGCGTCTCATTTGCAAAGATGTCCTGCCAACAAGAAGTCGGGGAGGGGGGCCCTTGGATGGAGGGCGGCTCCAAGGTTTGTTTTGCGTCTCGGGGTGTGGAAAACCTACGGGTTGCGGAGCCGAGGACGGGGAAACGAATCGCTGCGATCCGTGTCGCGAGAACTATTGGCAAACTCGAAGATACAGAGAGCAAAAGGCAAAATAATAAAAAAAACGTCTTCGTTGGCGGGTTGCTCCTGCTGGTGGGTTGTGTGTTTTGCTGGAGACGGAAAAAAGCTCGAGGCGCCGCTTGTTGACTGCGGTCTTCGCTGTTGCCGGCTGCGATGGCTTCTGGTTGGCGGGACAGGGGTAACGCCCAGGGCCTGGGTGGATGGGCGAGTCGCGGTGGGGCGCTTCCAGATCGATAACACAGGCCGATGAACGGCGAATTCGGAGAACAAACACGATCGATACCAGGAAAAAAAAAACGATGTGGTGGGAGCGGGATTCAATTATCCAAGTCTCTAACACCCGAAGAAGTGGCACCCCATCGGTGTGGCGAGCCTAAGCTTACGACAGTTTTTCTCCTTTCTTCTGGATTTGTGCGGTGATGCTGCGTCTCCTGCATCTCGCAGCTCGCCGTGGGGGAAGAAGTCAGGGACAGCCGCTGCAGGGCGGTGTTGACGTGGCTACCCAATCGTCGTCGGGCGCTATTGCTGGAGAAACCTTCCGCATGTGATGTCACCAATCCCTGCGGCCCTACAGCTGGCAAAACTGAGCTCCTGGAAAGGGAGAGCTGCCTGACAGCTGGTGGCAGAAAACATGATGGCAGCATCGTCTTTGGGTGGAAAAAAACCTTCGAGTTTCAGATAATATTTGCCCCGCCATTTTCCCTGTGCCGCATATTGCTAAACTAGAGGTTCGCTATGACGAGTTGTTCGCATTGATCGTTGATTGTGCCTTGCTTCCTTCGGATCAAACACCTTCTTTGCTGGACGCTATCACTCGCACCCCGGCAGACACCGAGATCCACTTTTTGGCGGAACTCTCCATC